CGCGATGAAGGGCGACAGCATGGCCTACACGAACGAGGCCATCCCGAACCACGTCATCGGCGGCGTCGGCAAGTACGGCCTCTCCTTCGTCCTCTTCTGGACCCTGAGCTACGCCCTCGTCCACATCTACTAACCTCGTGTCCCTCGTAGCCGCGCGCGCGTGTGTGCTTTCCCGAGGCGACCGCAGACGCAGAGCGGCGGCAGCGGCGGCGGGGTGTGTGGAGGTTTAGTGAGCGGCAACATGGGTTCAAGGTAAGGATTGGTGAAGGCGTCCGGTCATACATCGATGCTGGCCCGGTCGAGGCGGCATCCATAGTCCCCTCGCTTCGTCGAACGCCTAGACGGGGGTCCTGCGACAAACACACCGCATCGCCTGAGCGGCGGCCGGGCTGTCATCCTCGTCCCCTCGCTTCGTCGAACGCCTAGACGGTGAGACCAAGCACAAAACCTCCGTCGCGATGTACCGCTTCGCGTGGTTCCGCGGCTTCGAGGCGTCGGACGCCGACACGCAAACGTCGTCGGGCCGCGGCGCCGCGCCGTCGCCCTTCAAGCGCTGGTTCGGCGAGGCCGCCGTCCAGCCCTACGACACGCTCCTCCTCGAGGGCGGCTGCGTCAAGGGCGTCGCCTACGCCGGCGCCGCGCACGCGCTGGAGACCGCGGGCGCGCTGGGGCGGATCCGCCGCTTCGCCGGGAGCTCCGCGGGCGCGATGGCCGCCGCGCTCCTCGCGGCGGGCATCAGCCCGAGCGACCTGACGACCATCCTCCTCGAGCTCGACTTCCAGGAGCTCCTCGACGGAGACACGCTCAAGGTGCCCGCGCGGCTGCAGGGCATCGTCGCGAACAGGGCAGGAAAAGAGTGCTTCAGGTTCGCCTCAGAATGAGCGTTCCGCGCGCGCGCGTTTCGGAAAAAGCATCCACGCGTCGAGAGCGCTCCGAGAGATGATCGCTCGTCCAAAAATTAGCCGAAACGAGTGGAAAACGGCCGAGAGAGGAGCCTCCAAAGTTGGGAATTTCGCACTCTTTCCCTGCCCAGGTCGCGAACCACACGTCGCTCGCGGAGACCGTGTCGGCGTTGACGACGGAGCTGCTCAACGGGTTCCGCAACGAGGACTCGGACGAGGTCGAGTACAAGTCCGTGACCTACAACCCCATCGACCTGGGGAAGCGGCTCGTGACGGAGTACGGCCTCTTCAAGGGGCAGCGGCTCGAGGAGCACATCGAGGCGCTGCTCTTCCAGGCGACGGGCGTCGCACACGTCACGTTCCGCCAGCTGCGGGAGCTGCGGCCGGACGTCGCGCTCCGGCTCACGGCGACGTCGATCACGCACCAGCGGGTGACGTACTTCGACGTCGTCGCGACGCCCGATCTGGCGATCGCGCGCGCCGTGCGCGCGTCGTCGGCGGTGCCGCTGCTCTTCGCGCCCGTGGAGATCGACGGCGAGCTTTTTGTGGACGGCGGGCTGCTGAAGAACCTGCCCTACGACGCCTTCGACCTCGAGGGCCACCCGACGCTCGCGCTGTCGATCCGGACGCCGACGGCCGCGGAGCTGCAGTCGAAGGACGACGACCGGAAGCTCGCGCTGCCGACGTTCTCCACCTTCTTCGCCGCGCTCCTCGAGACGCTCACGTTCGGCGAGGGGTCCGCGAACTGCCTGAGCCACGCGCTCGTCCGCGACGGGCTGGATTTGGTGGAGCTCGGGGTCTACGAGTACG